GGGTACCCATTTCCACCTGGGTGAAGTGAGGAAAATTTGTGCAAAGTACCTTTCCCAAGGACACAACGTCGGGCCCCTGACAGGATTCGAACCCACGACCTTACGGTTGCGAGTTCGAGAGCCTAACCACTAGGCCACCGACGGAAATAATTGAAATGGCGTAGGTTTAACGCCTCTAATAGCACTAATAAGTTACTTAAGAGGCAGGACCTCCGAGTTCAACGCTATCTCTCCGAAAGGGCTGAGCTAAATAATAGGACATTCGTGTAAAATGCATTTCCCTATACCACAAGGTCGGACAGACAAGACGCTCGAACCCCTGAACATTCAGTCTTACGGTCCCGGGTGTAACCACTCGATTGCCGACTCCATGATGATCCAAATTTTGACGCTGACGAAGTACAAGTTTACCTTTAAAAAAATAACAAACACGGTACGTCGACGACGACAACGACGACGACGACGACGACGACGACGACGACGAAGAAGAAGAAGAAGAAGAAGAAGAAGAAGAAGAAGAAGAAGAAGAAGAAGAACAACAACAACAACAACAACACCACCACCACCAACACCACCAACAACAACAACAACAACAACAACAAGAGGAAGAAAGGTAAAAACAAAATCAATTTCTCAAAATTTAAATTGTAAAATTTTGATAAATTCACAAAACGAAACAAACCTACCTCCCGGAAAAGAAGACCTCACTCAGAAGTGAGGACACAGTCTTCGTGTTTGTTTGTACAATTATTATTATTATTATTATTGTACAGGGTATTCCTCTCACGAGTGTAGAAATAGAAAAAGTCTTCTAAATCACACTAGTGGCATGCCGCCCGCCCCACACATCTTCTGTCTGTCTGACGGACCCTTGTGTTTACTCGGACACGGCTTCGTCATCTCACCGGCTCATTACTTTGGAAAGGCATGTTGTAAACACACGACGCTCGCATGCCGTACGCTCCGCTTCGTGACGGAGCGGTTTGGAACAAGTTTCGAACGTTTCGCTGAGGAGGTAGGGCCTTGACCTACGCTAGTCGCTACCTCAAAATTCTGCTCCGTACCTATCTCCTTAGTACATGTACTTAGTTTTGAGAAATTTGACGTCAAACATTTTTTGAGCTTCGCAACATGCCAAGCTTTTTCGAGTGCGATTCTTTGAACATCGCTTGATAACGACCCCTAATAAAATAATCTTCCAATTTTGAAAGAGAAGGTAGAACAATAATTTTGTCAAGCTGCTACCTGTTTGGCCTAAGTCAGACTTAGGCCAAAATGCAACTGATGAACCATTGGACTCCTTGACATCTGCTTAATATGTATTAAATAATATTGAGACGTAAAATTAAAAATATACTCCAAACCATTTCAAAGAATTAAAAAAAAAAAAAATTCAATTGGCTTAGGTCAAAAGTGACATTGATTTTCCAGTGTACATGTAATTTGGCATAGTCTGACAAAGGCAAATTCGTCTCTCATTCAATTTAGCCTCAGCCATACTTAGGCCAACACCTAGGCAAATTTGTTACGCTCAGTCTTGGATCTAACTGTCCATTTCAGTCAAATTCTTTTCAATGTGGCCTAAGACATTCAGAATTGAAAAACGGAAGAAAAGAAATTATGGCTCATTAAGTCATTTTGCAAAATAGCCTAAATGGGAGACAGCAGTCATGAAATGGCTTAAGTCAAGTCATTTTGCAAAACAGCCTAAGGCCGGTCCCAGAGTGGCTCTTATACTTATAGGTCTGACCTGTAGCTTGCCTGGCGCACGCCGTGTGCGTGTCATCACAGCCGCACTGTGGGTTGGCGCCTGTGTCTCAGCGAGCGCGAGGCACACTCACTGCGTCTCAGCACAGCCGCACTGTGTGTCGACGTGTGTAGGTGTGCAACTGACGGGTCTGCCTTGCTATATTTAGGTACTGTGTAATCAAAGACCAATTACTGTATACCAAGACGGGACAACTCTTCTTTATATGTCATAATTGTGCCAAGTGCAGCCCCCCCCCCCCACACACACACACAAACACACTTGCAGTTGCAGCTGCACGCGGCGATAGTTTACATTGGTTACAATGCAAGGCTAGATCTAGATCTAGAATCTAGAGAAGCACACCTAGATCTAGGGCTAGGCCTACGATAACAGTCGAAACTAGGTCAACCTCTCGATTCGAAGTTTCAAAGTATGATAAAGTGCATTTCTCGGTGATTTTGTGGCCAAGTGTTGATGCTAGCATCAATATTCTATAGTAAAGCACCTAATAATACTTACTTCTTGTTGATTTTGATGATCTGTGAAGAGTTTCAGTCGAAAATAAACACGAAGCGAGGCGACACATGTCCGCCATTTTTACAACACTCTTGAATAGCACGTCTGACGCATCGCGCAGTTCAGCTGACAAAAAACAGACGACACAGCGACGCTGCTTAAGCACACGATCATGTATACATTCATTTGCACGGTGCAAGCCAGGCGAGCTACAGGTCAGACCTACAGAGCCACTCGTGAAACCCAGTGATATCAAAGATTCTCTACTACTGGTACAGAATCTTTGGTGACACATCAGACTTCCGTTTAGCGTACTCTACCGTACTGCAGCTGTTCAAATCCAGACTTTCGGAAATAATATCCATGTTTTGATCAAACTCTTCAGTCTTTTTTCTCAAATTCCCATTTTAATTTTCTTGCTTTTAATATACCCGTACAATATCAATGTTATACTTTGCAAAATAAATAGGTAGGCTAGATCAGTGCACAATATCGAATTTACGAAACAAAACTAGCGTCTGTCGGAAGCCGGATATGAAAGGCGAAAAACCAACGGTTTTCTCTTATATCATTTCTTTATTAAGATCCAAAAGTGCTGAAACGGGCATAAAAGATATTTACAAACAAAGTATGTGCACTTTAAAAATGTCTGAGTATACTATACACCAACAAAAACAATGATGACTCTAAAAAATTATTAACTAGAACAACCAGAGCTTCTCATTAATAAACATTGATTATTGTTTAATCACCAATAAAAATATATATCAATCCATATCATGAAAATATATTATTATTTTTAATACTTCAATAAATAAAAAACAGTACAATAAAAATTCCACTTGATCACGAACAAAAACGGATGATTTGGTAAAAGTTTTTTCAATCAAATCGTTTGTTTCTGCCACTGATCAACTGGAGTTTTTAATTACTTATTATCTTGTTTTAGTAGAGGTTTTAAGGGCGTTCGTAACTGCATAAGGTCTTATGAGCGCCAAGGGGTGGATATCAAGAGAGAAGTCCTTACAGGGAATCAGTCTCACTCTGCTCCCCTCTCTAACCTCAACAGCACAAAGTTTGCTTCGACTATCAAGGCACCCAGAAATAGCAGTGCACAATAGAGTGACAAACATATAAAAAAAGTAGAGGACAAATGAAGATAGAAAGGATGAGGAAAGAAAAAGCAGCAGTTCCCCCTATGTTGCTCAGGCACAATATGGGCATGACATTGATAAATCAGCCCATTTACAATTGTACTGTGAATGAGAACATGTTAAAATCCCCCTTTGGGAATGGCCTAAAGACACTTCAGACAGTAGAACTGCCCTGGGGGGGGGGGGGGGGGGGGGGCGGAGATGGGGTTGCCTGGTTTCAGAAGAAAAATTAGCAAGAAAATGGCCGCCAATGTTTGTTGACTTCCATAGTTTGAGAGTCCTTGGAAACTGTAAATTTACATTTTTTGTGACTTCAATCAACAATTTTCCAGCAAAATCCACCCAGAAATGTGTTTGTAAAATGTGATGATTTTTTAAAAAAAGCTGGTTTCTTTGGTTTGACGAGCGCCTGACTTCACTATGCTGCCTCACATATATGTGTCACGACGAGGTGGAATCAGGCGCTCATCAATTTTTGGACTAGTGGAGTGGTATCATCCTAAAGCCTGTTCATTTGTCTTGCTTTCCATGAAAAAAATACCCATCTATCTTAATAGATGGAAATATTTGTTTATAAATGAAGGAGGTGGGGATTGCCTGGTTTTAGATGTAAAATTAACGAGAGAATAGCCGCCAAACTTTGATTATTATAAAAGCTTCAGAGATCTTGGCAACTGCAAATTTACATTTTTTGTGCCTTAAATCAACGTTGTTCAGACGATCAGTAAAATCCATACTAAATGTATTATCAAATGTGAGGCATCCATTTCTGTTTGTTTTGGGTTGTTTCCATACCAGATTGAAGGGGATAGAAGTACTGGTAAAGGTTGTAAGTTATCCTTTTGTTGTTTCAAGAAAAATGCTAAAATACAGCCGGGCTCAACTCGATCATTCAGTGCTATGTACAAGAATACCCTGCCCACATACTAGCCTCAAGTATTCTCGCAATCTGCCTCACTATCTTGGAAAGACATCCTCTATCTAATCAATACCAAGTTATTTGAACTAATCGTGATGCAATATGGGAAAGGTCAAGGAGACATTTTTTTCGCTCGAGCAGCCATTGAGCCCGCTAGTTTTGATTGATTTTCCTCGGTAGACCTAATTTCATTTTTTCATAAAACAAAACTGCCCTGTATATGAGGGGAGTTCATTGCTGTTGTCCTCAGCATTGAATGAGTTAAGTATGAAATGATTCACAGTTTTTTAAATTTGTAAAGGCCATAATATATTTGAGCAAAATGTGTCTCTTAGACCCTTTATTTTCTGAACATTTTAACAGGTTGAGGGGTCTGTGGTCAATAGCTCAAAAACTGAGGCCAATCTTAACCCTATCCGTACGCCCTGGGGTCATTTTGTACCCCCAGGGTTGTAATTCTTCACATTTTAGAATACTTCTAGTACGAAGATCTCTTTAAAACTTTCAGTATTTCTCAAAAAATCATTTTGACAGACTGCTATGCAAAGCGTACGGATCGGACTAACGAGTAAATTTCCTCTCTGTAAAGTGATGTCACAGAGTTCCCCACGTCATATGGATACGATAGTATAACACTACGTACATATAGGATTAAGCAATGATTTAAGTGTTATCTCACATTTCAACACTGAAAGCTTAGTTTTTCACTGACCACATAAAAATCCAGCTTTGAACATCGCAGAGGCATCTCCTCGCAAGCCCATGACATAAGTGATCACAAAAATATTCGTCTTCAGATGTCTAAGACTACTAAGAGTCCATTCTCTCACAAGTCAATAACATAAGTCTACATTTTCATTGACCACATAAAAATTCAGCTTCAATTCAGATACAAAAGTCCAACTCGTCGTAAGCCGAAGACATAATTGTACATATTCATTGTCCACATAAAAATTCAGCTTCGAATGTCATCCTCTCCTAAGCCAATCACGTCAATATAATAGCAAGTTTTTCACTGACTATGTTAAAAAAAAAACCATCTTCAATTCACTTCAAACATCCCCGTGTCCTCATACCAGTGTCCTTCCGCTCACAAACCGATGTCGTAATTATATGTTTTCTCCCTAAGAGATATCAGAAACTGGCGATGCGTCTCGTGATCAAACATGGTGTCCTTCACAGCGGGCAGTTGGTACATGCTCCGGTACCAGGCGTCCAGTTTGGGGTACCTGGCCTTGTCCAGCGCGGCCGCCGGGGCCCATTTCTCCGAGACTGCTGGGATCCTCTCCATGTGCGGCCACACCATGTAGTCGATCAGAGAAGGCTTGGATCCTATAACGATGGGAATGACAATAATAATAATAATAAAAATAATAATAATAATAATATTAATAATTTAATAATAATAATATAAGATAATAAAAATAAAGATGATTAATGATGACAATGATGATGAGGAGGAGGAAGAGGAGAAGAAGAAAGCAGAAGAAGAACAACTAAAAAATTAATGATATTAATGAGGATAATAATAATGGTGATGATAATGATAATGATAATAATAATAATAATAATAATAATAATAATAATAAATGACATTTATATAGCGCTCAATCCTGTTTTAAGTACACAGGCTCTAAGTGCTTTACAATACAGTACAACATACAACAGTAACATAAAACGTTGAGCTCTGACTTAAAGAAAATCCCTCCAAATATTCATCTTATTAATTTAAAAACAAAAACGACTTCAGCTGACATTTGAATGAATCTAAAGATTTGATCTCTCTTAAAGTACTCGGTAAAGTATTCTAGATCTTGGGGCCTAGGTATTCAAATGCCCTTTCACCCATTGTTTTAAGTTTCAAAGATGGTAAAATAAATTTCTTTTTGTCAGCTGATGACCTTAAACTGCGAGTTCGAACGTAGTCTTACCAGATCTGATAAATTAAATATGATGGTGCATTATCATTCAAACATTTGTGACAAAGGGTGGCCAAATTGCACACAATTCTTTTCTCAACAGGAAGCCAATGCAATGTCGGTAAAAGAGATTTAGCAGAGTCTCGCTTTCTTTTGTGTTAAAATAATAATAATAATAATTATAATATTCATGAAGAATTGCCTCCCAATGACCAATGCATCTGCAGAGGGGAATATTTCTTGAAGAGAAATTGAAGGAATAAGGACTGGGATGACTTTTATTGAAATCTGCTAGGGCTGACAAGACTAACTCTGGCAGATAAAAACTGGCAAAGATTTGCGCTGATTTTCTCATGGTCACCATCATCATCATTGCCTTTCTCACCCTGGGTCAGTATAAGCCACGAACAAACACATTCCACCTTTCCCTATCCTGGGCTAGTCGCTTGATGTCACTCCACGTCTTCCCACTTTTCTGTACATCCATTTCCGTGACTCTTCTCCAGGTTCCACGAGGTCTTCCCCTTGATCTTTTACCCTGTGGGTTCCAATCTAACACTTTTCTTGTTATTCAGCTGCTTGACTTCCTGAGAGTGTTTAATTCATCGCCAACGTCTTCTTCCCATCTCATCTCTGACCTGGCTCTGTCTGGTTCTCCTTAATACTTCCTCGTTGGTGATCCTGTCTGTCTATTTGATCCTCAGCAGCCTCCTCAGACACTTGTTCAAGAAAATCTGGATCCTCTTTATGCACATAAGGGATGCGTTCCACGTCTCACATCCATACAAGACTGACTTCACATCTGAGTTGACAATTCTAAGCTTTGTTCGAAATGAGATATCCCTGGTCCTCCAAATCCTGCTCAAAGAAATAAATGCAGCCTGTGCCTTTCCAATGCGGGGCTTTATTTCAGCGCCTGTTCCTCCCTCTCTGTCAATTATACTCCCAAGATAGCAGAAGGATTCGACGTCTTCTAGTGCATTTCCTTGTACTGTGACCTGCTCCTTTCGCCGTGCATCTATCCTTAGGACTTTCGACTTTCCAAGATGGATCCTCAATCCAACAGACTCGGATAGGCTGTTTAAAATTGTTGTCTTTGCTTGCATCTGTTCCTGAGTGTGTGACGGAAGCGCCAAGTCATCTGGAAAGTCCAGATCGTCCAACTGTGTCAATGGGGTCGTCTGTATACCGTTTCTGTGTCATCTGGTGGTTTCCTTCATCAGCCAGTCAACTGCCAATATGAAGAGGAACGGTGATAATAAACATCCCTGTCTCACACCAGTCTTGATGTCAAAGTTGTCAGTGAGCTGGCCATCATGTACAACCCTGCAACTTGTCTCTTCGTACATGCTCTTGATGATCTTCACCAACTTCTGTGGGATTCCGTGGTGTCTCATTATCTTCCATAGTGTTGCTCGGTCTACACTGTCAAAAGCCTTCTCATAGTCAAGGAAGTTGACGATCAGCTGGGAGTTCCACTCCAGGGACTGTTCCACAATAATCCTCAGCGTGGCAATCTGGTCGGTGGTTGAGCGATTTTTCCGGAAACCAGCCTGTTCATCCCGTAGTCTTGGATCCGTTGCTGTCTTGATTCTCTCCAGAATGATTCTGTTGAAGACCTTACCTGGTATTGAGAGAAGAGTGATCCCTCTGTAGTTGCTGCAGTTGCTGAGATCCCCCTTTTTTGGAAGCTTCACGAGGTGTCCTTCTTTCCAATCCTTTGGGAACGTGCTCTCATTCCAGATCCTGGTAAACAGTGGGAGGAGGATGTCTGCCGTCACATTGGCATCTGCTTTTAGGGCTTCAGGTGGAATCTGGTCGGGACCGGCTGCTTTATCTTTGTTCAGCTTCTTAATGGCATCCAGAATCTCTTGTTTTGAAGGAGCATCACAGCAGATAGGTAACTCATTTCTTGTTGGCAGGATGTTTGGTGGGTTACTCGGTGGTCGTTTGTTCAGAAGACTGTTGAAATGCTCTAACCATCGTTTGGACTGAGCTTCCTTTCCAAAAATGGTTTTCCCCTTTTGGTCCTTTATTGGTACTTCAGGTTTCCCGTATTTTCCAGAAAGTGTTCTTGTGGTCTGGTAAAGGATTCACACGTGCCCTCCTACCGCTGCTTCCTCTGCCTTCTCCGCCAGCCTGTTCATGAATTCCTCCTTGTCTTTTCTTAGTGATTTCTTGACATCATTAGCTGTTGTCAATGCATCCGTAGATCTGTACTATGTTCATGTTGATGCTCTTACTTCTGGTAGTGAAAGAAGCCATGATGATCCTCTTCCCATGTGGTTCCCATCCTGTAAGTGACTTCTGCGCATACTTACTCAAAATAATTCCAACTCCCTCCGCATGGTGCTTGTCTTCCCTCCCAGAATATAATATTTGTTCCCCCGAGCTGAGCTGCTTCTGTCCAGACTGTATCCAGTGGGTTTCCCAGACTGTATCTAGTGGGTTTCGCTGACTCCTAGTATGTGCAGCCTGAATCTCTTCATCTCTTGTACTACTTGAGAACTCTTTCCTGCTTCATACAAGGTGCGAACATTCCACAACGCAATCCAGAGAGACTTGTTCGACAGAGAAGGTTTTGGGTCAGAAGAGTCCTTTCGGCTTTGTCCGCTGTCCTTCATTGTTCCTGCTGATGCAGAAGCTCCTCCGTCTCCCAAGATGGAAAAATTATAAGGCATGTTTGTTCGTGTTTCTATAACTTTCCTTTTTTACTGGGTCGGGTAGTTGGCCCTCCGCAAACTGTCACTTTTCAGGTGGCCAGACCTATGCACCTTTAGTCGCCTCTTACGACACGCAGTATCACGGCAGGTGTATTCTTTACTCCCCCATAGTAAAACTATGGGGCCCCCCCACCTTCAGGGGCGGATTCTCTCATGGTGCCTAACATATATACAGAAGGGTGGCGCTGTGTGCAATGAATGGAATGGGAAGAGTTGAGCAGTTCTTACAAAAAAAATGTCTTTTAGTTTAAGGAAGAAGTTTTACGGTGCTTGAAATACTATTAGGTTAAGTAAGTGCTGAAGATTAGCGATGTTACTAGAAAGTAACACAGCAAAAGAAAAGAAGTAGAGTTTAAAAGGACAATAAATGTTTGACAGGAAAGAGCAGTAAAACACATCAGAGCACCCATCAACCACCCACAAAGATACTCTCTCTCTCTCCCTCTTACCTCCAAAGAAAGGACCGCCTCTTTTCACCAGGACGTCCTCATAGTAGGCATAACACTTGTGTACTTGTTTCAGAGCCGTTTCACTCTCATCAGGTTTCAGAAGCCCATACAAACTTGAGGCAAGCTAGATTAAAAACCAGAAATAGAAATCAAAATAAATAAATAAATGAGAGAGAGAGAGAGAGAGAGAGAGAGAGGGAGAGAGAGAGAGAGAGAGAGAGAGAGAGAGAGAGAGAGAGAGAGAGGGAGAGAGAGAGAGAGAGAGAGAGAGAGAGAGAGAGAGAGAGAGAGAGAGAGAGGTGGGGGGGGAAGAGAGAGAGAGAGAGAGAGGTGGGGGGGAAGAGGGAGGGAGAGAGAGAAAAAGAGAGGGGTTGAGGGAGATTTAGAGAGTGAAAGAGAGAGAAGGAGGGAGTGAGAGGGAAAGAGAGAGCGAGAGAGAGTGAGAGAGAGAGAGAGTGAGAGAGAGACAGATACAGAGAGGGTGAGAGAGAGAGAGAGAGAGAGAGAGAGAGAGAGAGAGAAAGAGAGAGAGAGAGAGAGAGAGAGATACACATGTTATATTATATAATTATGTTGAAAAATCTCTTTTAAGTTCAGGTGTAGTTCACTCTATAAAAAAGTGACCTCGTTATTCATGGGCTTGGGCTTTGTCAAGAGAGGCAACCACTCATATCAGAAAGCACTTTGGGGCACCATTTGTTCTCTCCCCTTACATTCAAACCCTGACATAATCGAAGCAGATCTGCCGTTAGCTGACAAAACGCCTTTTTCATTTCGGCGCCAACATTTTTATTTGCCTGATCAGTTACTCTAGTTGTGTGAAAAAATCAAAGTGAATCTGTGACTCGAATTTCGGAAGAACACTATTTTTAAATGGTTACGCTGACAAAAAACTCTTTTTCTATAAAATGCTGTGAATAACAAAAGGCGTATTGTCAGCATACGACAGAGATGATCTTATCGCATTATTTCCATCTTTTTTTTTACAACAAACACTCGAATTCAACAAACTCAGAGGTCACTGAGTTTCAGAGAACAAAAACTCAACTAAACAGGAGAAAAGATTGATGCAGCGACAAATCCTCACTCTACATCATGCCATGGTGACCTACAAGTGGGGGCCGGCCCCACATCAAACATTCACATATAGCCAGTTGGAAAGAAAAAAAAGGTTTACAGAGCAACAAACCCTTCTGCATGACATCACGGTGACTCAAAAGTGAAGGCCTCACATATCCACTCACTTGTAGGGACCCCCATGGCCACATCAAACATTTACAACCAAACAGTACAGTTGGAAAAAAGATTGATGGAGTGACAAACCAGTCCGCATAAAATCAAGGCCACCCACAAAAATAATAAATGATAATGGATTGCATTTATATAGCACATATCCACTTATGCAATGCTCTATGCGCTTAACATGATACATATTATTATGGATTTACAAATCAATTTTAAAGGCACATAGTGTTACATACTCGTGCACACACATACTCACGTATGTTTGTAACTCTCTTGTAAACTGCTATTTCTGGAGTGCCTTGATAGTAAAACCTTACTAAAACTAAAACTAAAAACCACAAGTAGGACACCCACACCAAACATTCACAAATAGCCAGCGCAGTTGGAGAAACATTCACAAATAGCCAGCGCAGTTGGAGAAACATTCACAAATAGCCAGCGCAGTTGGAGAAACACTCACAAATAGCCATCGCAGTTGGAGAAACATTCACAAATAGCCAGCGCAGTTGGAGAAACATTCACAAATAGCCAGCGCAGTTGGAGAAACATTCACAAATAGCCAGCGCAGTTGGAGAAACACTCACAAATAGCCATCGCAGTTGGAGAAACATTCACAAATAGCCAGCGCAGTTGGAGAAACATTCACAAATAGCCAGCGCAGTTGGAGAAACATTCACAAATAGCCAGCGCAGTTGGAGAAACAATCACAAATAGCCAGCGCAGTTGGAGAAACATTCACAAATAGCCAGCGCAGTTGGAGAAACAATTAAAGGATAGACAAACAGTTCCATGTGATATCACAAAGGACAAAAGTTGGTTATTTTCACATTAGTTCAAAATATGAATTGCGACCCACAAGTGCGGACCTCACATCAAACATTCATAAACAGCCCCCTAGAATGAGAAATAAGAACAGACAAATAGTGCCACAAACCCGTCCGTAGTACTCCTCCAGTACACGGTCCCAGGCGCGGATGTACGGGTCGCTGGACTGTAGTCTGTTCTCCGGGAAGGCGTCGTCCAGCCACATGCAGGTGGCCGAGGACTCACACAGCACCATACCATCCCGCTCCAGCACCGGCACCAGGCCGACCGGGTTCCGCTCCCAGAACCACTTAGGCTTCTTTGCCAGGTGAACGTTGACCGTTTCATACCTGTGTGGGAAGGAAAAAGTGAACTACATAAATGTATACAGAGAGAAAGACAGAAAGAACAAAAAACCATCCAACAAACAAACAAACAAGACGAAAAGGAAGAGAGAAAGAAAGAAAATCAAAGGGAAGAAAAAAAAGATGTAAAGAAAATAATGGAAAAGAGAACTATGTAAAGAAAGAATGAAAGAAAGAAAAAAAAAGAAAGAAAAAAGAAAGAAAGAGGGAGTGAAAAATAGAAAGAAAAAAGACTCATAAATAAGAAAGACAGAAAAGAAAAAGAGTAAGAAAGAAAGGAACTAAGACAGAGAGGCCAAGCCAACGGGGTTCCGCTCTCAGAACCACTTAGGCTTCTTGGCCAGGTGCAAGTTGAATGTTTCACACCTGTGTGGGAAAGAAAGAGTGAACTACAGAAAGAAACAAACAAACAAACAAAAGAACAAACAAACAATAACAAACAAATAAAAGAAAGAAGGTGAAAGTAAAGAAAGAAGATGCAAGAAAAGAAAGAAACAAAAACATAGAGATCTACAATAAGAATTTTTTAAAAAGGAAAGGAAAGAGTAATAAGAAAAAAAAAGAGAAAGAAAAAACAAACAGAAAGAAAGAAAACATGGAGAAGAGAAAGGAAGAAAAATGGAACAAGATTAGACAAAGATACAAAAAAAGAAAGAAAAGAAAAAAAGGAAAGAAAGAAAGGGAAAGAGACAGAGATCAGGCCAAGCCTACAGGGAATGAAAGATGAAATATAAGCCCAGACCACAGACGACCTCACTCACGGAATGTTCTTGTGAGCCAGCACCAAGCGTGTCCTTTGAGCCCACGGGCAGAGTCGCATGCTATACAGCCGCAGCCGTCCTGGGGTGAGAGGTGGGAGGGCTGACCCTAGACAGAGAGATTTTGTTTTAGTTACAAGAGTTTTACAGCACTTGCAACACGATAAGGCTATATAAGTGCCAAAGATTTGAGTGTTAAAGTATAAGTAGAGATTTTGTGGCGCTCACAACTGCATAAGGTCATATGAGCGCCAATGGGTGGATGTCAACAGAGAAGTCCTTACAGGGAATCAGGCATACTCTGCTCACCTCTCTAGCTTCAACAGTATTAAGGTCTGCTTCGACTATCAAGGCACCCCGGAAATAATAGGTCAGAAGAGTGTGACAAACATACAAAAGAAGTAGAGGAAAATGATGATAGTAAGGATTAGGAAAGAATAAGCAGCAGTTCCCAGTTGCAGTTCAGGCACACTTATGAGCATGACATTTAAGAATCAGTCCATTTACAATTCTACAGTGCATAAGAACATTTATAATATGTTAATGAATAGCCTAAAGACACTTCAGACAGTAAGCACTGCCCCAGAGGGTATGAAGATTAGAGGTGTTACAAGAGAGTAACAAACACAAAAAAGAAGGGGGATCGAGAGATCAGGACGATAGACGTTTGATAGAAAAAAAGGAGCATTGAACTGCAAACCACACCAAGGCACCCACCAACCACCCACCTAGAGAGAGAGAAAAATGGTTTTAATGGTGTTGGTTGTTTTTACGCACCAACCACCACAATACATCATGTAGTCCTAGATCATCTAGAAGGTAGGCTTCCAACCCAAGAGCAAAACACAAATTGACCCTGTATCACAGAAGAGGAGTGAATTCCCACAAACTTGGAGTTTGAGTATAAAAGTAAAGAGAAGCACATCGACACAATAGCAGTCATATTATGTGAGGCGTGCTGACAAAATGAGTTGCTTCTCGCATTCCACAGATGGAGATATTGGCCAAAAATCGACACTAGGGTCAAATTTGTAGATTTTCTATTGATGCCATTCTCTAAACTTATAAAAAGCCTTACTATTTCATTCGTATAAATAGTAAAAACTTCACCTTTAAGTGTGGTATACCTATTTCCATAGGGATCGAATCCAAGATGTTACTAATTTTGTCAGCACACTTCACATATAATATATAGTGTCAGGAAGAAATAGAAATAACAGAGAGGGAGGAAAAGAAGTATAGAGGACCTTCCACGGGCACCCTCCAGCCATCCGATTCCCACGAAGCATCACAATTAATCCTATCCGTACGCCTTGGGGTCACATTTTAGAATACTTCTAGTGCGAAGATCTTTTAAAACTTTCAGTATTTCTTCAAAAAATCATTTTGACAGACTACTCTGCAAAGTGTACAGATCGGATTAACAAGCAAATTTCATCTTTGGAAAGTGGTGGCATGAGAGTTCGTCATGTCGTATGGATACAGTAGTAAAACACGAAGTACGAATAAGGTCAACTACCTCTAGCTCAACCAACACTCATCACCTCTGTGATATATGTATGGGACTCACCCTTGGCGAAAACTTTCTCTGAAATAGCTGGGGACCCGCTGCAAAACGAAGCTGCAGGTTGATGAAAATGGCCCGTGACGCAAGCCAAACGGCGGACGCTGGACCTTGTAGACGACATTTTCACAGGTCTTGCTGTGGAGGGTGCTTTGGATGTTGACTTGTTTGACTGACGCTCTCTAAGATCCAGAGTTTATGGCAGCTTACTCCGTTCCACTCTTCACATATATTCCGTGGGCTGATCACTTGAACTCTTTTTCACTCCACGCCTAGGAAAGACCCCAAAGCATACAGTGATATTATAGAAATAGGAAGACAGCACAACATAGATCTATAGCCAACAATAATTTTATGCTAGAAATAGAGTCTGTACTGTTAGAAATTTACAAGCTGAAGCACTTTGAAAATATTTTTTAAAATTTTGTAATGGTGGGCACTTTTAGTAACTTTTACTCACTTACTCATCCTAAAAGCTAATCAATTATTCAATTTTTTAGAAGGCAGGCATCTGACCCTCTTTCTTCAGAGCAAAAAGGATGTTTTTGAATTGAACTTGTGTTTGCAAAGAAACTGGTTGATTGTTGTGAAATCTGGCCTCAAATAAAAAGGGCTTCTTATTAAAATGACTTGCAGTGATAGAAGAGCTAAATATATAACAATATGAACCAGGTCCTGTCGTAACAGACAGGGGTCCTAAATCCAGGTCGAAACTTTTCAGTAATTGAGTCAGAGACTTTGCCTTGCTTGGTCTCTGGTTGAGTGAGGGGGGGAGTCAGAAAGTGTAACAATTCAATCATAACATAGGCCTAATCATTATGTCGATGATAACAAAATTTAATTTAAATAAAGAGTACTTAATCTAGTAGAAGAGAATATGGCATCAATAGACTGTGCTTTAAAGTGCTTATACTTACATTACAGTTACAGTGGCAGAAATTTTACACCACACAGTGCACAAGTATATTATATTAATAAAAAAAGACCATCTTCTTGTACATTAATTAGCAATGCACACCCATTTCTCTTTCTTTCTAGTCCGTTAGGTACTTGCTGGACCAGACAGAAAACACTTGTTTTTGTTCGGATGGTCGACACAACAGAGTAAAGGGTAAAGGCTAGAGTCACAGTTGAAGGTTCAAAGTTCAAAGGTAATCTAAAGTTTTAAAGCGGTGTAATGGACAGTGTGTTAACAAGAGAAATACTGTCCGTGGGTTATAATTAAAATTTTGTGTTTGTTGAAAGTGGGAGCCATGCGCTCGCGTTTGTGTGTGTGTGTGTGTGTGTGTGTGTGTGTGTGTGTGTGTGTGTGTGTGTGTGTGTGTGTGTGTGTGTATGAAGTGTATGTGTGTATGCGTGTGTGTAGAAAGGGGGGGGGGGGGGAGAGTGTGTAGGCCTAAACATGTGTCTAAAAGTGTTGGCATATGTATAATGTAGGTCTATAGTGTGCATGGGTGTTTGTGTATATTATATATATATATATATATATATATATATATATATATATATATATATATATATATATATATATATATATGTGTGTGTGTGTGTGTGTGTGTGTGTGTGTGTGTGTGTGTGTGTGTGTGTATGTGTGTATGCATGTATGTATGTATGCATGGATGGTTGTATGTATAATATGTATGTATGTTATGTGCGTATGTATGTATGTATGTATGTATGTATGTATGTATGTATGTATGTATGTATGTATGTATGTATGTATGTATGTATGTATGTATGTATGTATGTATGTATGTATGTATGTATGTATGTATGTATGTATGTATGTATGTATGTGTGTATGTATGTATGTATGTATGTATGTATGTGTGTATGTGTGAGCGTGTTTGTATGTGTCCGTCCTATTTTATGTGCGTGATTTTGAGACAGAATATTATATGTTGTATTGTATAGATAGAGTGAGATTGTGAGATAGAGAATAATAATATTATGTGTGCTATGGGAGATCAGAGCGTTCAATGAGAGAGAACGCGAGAGATTGAGACAGAGAGGGAGAGACGATAGAACGAGAGAGTGAGAGTGAGAGAGAGTGAGAGAGAGAGAGAGAGAGAGAGAGAGAGAGAGAGAGAGAGAGAGAGAGAGAGAGAGAGAGAGAGAGAGAGAGAGAGAGAGAGAGAGAGAGAGAGAGAGAGAGAGAGACGTAGGCCTATTTTAGCAAAAACAGTAGTATTATTTATATATTACCTAGATCTAGATCTAAGATATCTTCTGTTATATTTAAGTTTAAGGTTTGGCCGTTGCTGCACTCTGAAAAGTTCCGGGAGCCAAGCTGGTGGATTATAAGATATAATATTTTAACTGTTTTATAATAATATGATAATAATAATTATATTAATGATAATGAAAAAAATAATGATACTAAAAGTAACAGATCTAATGATACTACTACTTCTACTAATATATTATTATAGGCTAATGCATTGTTGTTAATTTTTATTCCACAGACTTTGTTTCGGTGAAATCCAGTGTTTTCGTCTCAACTTTTTAATATATCACGCCTAGCTAGCTACTTCCGTTTTCTCGGAGAGGGGTTGGAAAACGAAAGTAGGTAGGGTTTGACCTCGACTACGTATTGCTTACCGGTACTAGATTTCTAGATCTAGATCTAGATTCCAATTCTAGATCTGGATAGATTGTCTTTAGATCTAGAATCTAGATCTATATCAAGATCTAGTACAACAGTAAGTCAGACTTCTTACTCTCATTCATATCTTATTGAAGTCCCCGGTACCCCATATCCCAGTGAAAGTTGTCTGTCAGTATTATAATGGAAGGGTAGGGCTTGATCTTTGGGCTCTTTGGAAATTGCCTTCCCGTTTGTTTACACAAGAAACAAAAGTGATTGCTGTTGTTACTTGAACATAAACCAATGTTTAACACTAACCTTCTGTCTGCCTGCACCTACAGCAGGGCTTAGCCAAACCTGTTTCTCTCTGGGTGGTGATCCTTTCCTCCCCGATGCGTTGGAATCTCACACGTTATGTAGAGAAACAAACAGAGGCTCACTAGCCTCAAACTTTTGTGGCATTGGTGGCCTAGTGGTTAGGCTCTCGGACTTGCAACCGTGGGTTATTTTCAAATAAAGATAGTTCAGAAACATTGCCCCAACCACAATTGAAGTATCTGAATGCTTAGGCTTAGGCCTAGACATTTAAAAATCTCTAGATCTAGAATCTAGAGTCTAGATCTAGCTCTAGAAATTGAATTCGATGCTAAAAATGCTTCTTCCCTGTCCTCACAGAATGGAAGAATGAAAGATGAAGCCGAACTCTCGCAAATAACCGAAAAATCTCGAAAACGGAAACAGAAGAAATAGAGATTGAATCAGGTTTATTTTCCCGAGCGTTCGGAGAAATAGCCACTTCGTAAATTTTACTTCCATGGATGGATCCACTGTTCAAAGTCAAAAGGGAAATTGAACCGAAAACTGAACACTGAAAAGTCAGTTAATTTTTTATCTCTCTGCTTTACACAAATTTGGACCTCCATCACATATTGAATGGTTGGTTAAAAAAAATTATAACATGTATGGACTTCTGAAAATAAAATAGCCTATTATTTTTACAAAAAGACCATTTGTGTAACATTTAATTTGATTTGTTTTTAACGACATGGGGGGGTTTCAAGGGGGCATGGTATTTCATCATATTCGCAGTTCACGGCGCCGTGAATCATCCACCACTGACACAGAGGTACAACTGAAAGCTACAGTTGCTCAAAATTCAAAGTGAATGAGAAAGCGGCACAGGAATACTCGCGTGAAATATAGGCTAATACAACGGTGACCCGAATGCAACGGAGTTTACGGAGGGCGAAGACGGGCACAGCAAAACAGCCGCGGTCGACAAAGCCTCTTTCGCTCAGCGCGCAGAACACGATTTTGATCCTCTTCCCTTGTGCGGACCCGGTAACGCTCAACAATTTGAAAATGAAAGTCGTTCGAAGAAACAAGGGAGAATGGATTGCAAATTACATTCAGGGCACTATGAATGTAGCCTCTGCGAGATTCATTTATTGTTTTGCAATAAAGTTTATATTCTCTTGAAAACAGTTGATTTACAACCTGGGCTTTTTGTGACGATGAATATAAATCATATGTGTCTGCAGTAAAAATTATGGCAGTTCAACAACCGAAATAGTGCAACTGCATGCGGGTCTAAAGATAAAAATTTACATAAAACATAAATTTGAAGTTAACTCTAACTTTCAGATATAATGGCTGTTGCTGTGAAGCTGCTTCGTGGATGTTGCCACTGTGGCTCATTGTCCCGGACGTCTTTGGCTGCGAAGGAACTTCTATCACGGACAGCTGTTGGCAGCGTAGTGCTTCAAACAAGAGTGAGTGATTGGTTTTTGGGTTGTTGTTTTTTTTACCTCACTATATGTTGTGTTTTACTTTCGTATCCATACTATGTGGGGAGCTCTGTGCTACCACTTTCCAAAGAGGAAATTTACTCACTAATCCAATCCATACGCTTTGCCTGGCAGTCTGTCAAAATGATTTTTTGAGAAATACTGAAAGTTTCCAAGGGATCTTTGCTCTAAAAGTATTCTAAAATGTGAAGGTACAAAATGACCCCAGAGCGTACATATATATAGGGTTAAGCAATCATGTAGGTAGTATTTTTTGTTATCCTTTTCATACAGTGGAAGAACAGTGTCCACAAAGTTATTAATTTTACCCACTTGGTGCCATACTCAAAACATCTTTAAAAGTAAAAGTGCATGCTGTTTTATAGTTTTCAATAGAGTTCAGTGACTACTTTTCATTGATGGGCTCGTACCTGATATAATGGCCCTTAAATCAGCGGTACCTGTTTTTAAATTACTTCTCACTGAGGTATTGAATGAGGTATTTCAACATGAAATAATATGAGTTGAAAAGGCAATATATGTTGAGCCCTGCTAAAAATGACCATTCTTCAGCCTTAGATTTCAGTTTCGGTTATTACAAAAGCAGGTGGAGAGCCCTGAAACACGACTTGCAGCCCAGCGTTGTGAGCAACATGAGCCATGGCGTATGGGTCGTGGTAGTGAAAGAGTTAATCATACTTGAGAGAAAGTTGACAAAAAGCATTAAATGTTGTTGATCTTTTGTATGCTACTCTCCAATAAACCTCTAATCTTTGTCACTTATATTACTTATTTTTGTTGCAAGTGCTGTAAAATCTGATTTATACAATTATACAATAACTGTCCAGTGTTATTATCATTCCTTTCCTTATATCATCATCATTATTATTATTATTAATATTATTATTGTTATTATTACTAATATTATCATTACTATTAATATTATCATTACTATTAAATCATTACTATTAATATTATCATTACTATTAATATTATCATCGTTTCATTTTTGTTATGATAGAACAATACTCGGATCATGGAGAGAGTGTACCCTCTGCCGGTGGGCAAAGACGGGGGCCGGCCTGACAGGAGCCAGATGAACGAGTTGTACAAGATTCTGCGGGAAGTCGAGATTGTCAAGTACCCGGAGGAAATTCAGTGTATCCTCACAGATTTTGTCGAAGGTTTGCCATTAACCCTACCCGTATGCCGTGTTCTACTATCGTATCCATACGGCGTGGGGAACTCTGTGCCACCACTTAACCCTATCCGTACGTCATGTTTTACTATCATATCCGTACAATGTTGGGAACTCTGTACCACCAATTTCCAAAGAGGTAATTTACTCGTTAATCTGATCTGTACGCTTTGCATAGCAGTCTGTGAAAATTATTTTTGGAGAAATACTGAAAGTTTCAAAGAGATCTTCGTTCTAGAAGTATTCTAAAATGTGAAGAATAAACCGCGGGGGTACAAAATTACCCCAGGGCGTACGGATAGGGTTAATAATAATAATAATAATAACTTATTATCCACGCTCTACTGCATGCGCTATGAGGTTTTACAACTATTATTAAACCCTAACTAACCCTCCGAGAACACTCAGAAACATTCTCAGCTTCCCGGAAAGCAGACAGTGCAACCTGCGAATTTCAGGTGCTGTAACACTGACAAACTGACTAGATCTTTCCTAGTTCTTCTCTTTTAGTTTTAGTAAAAGTTTTAAGCCACTTTCCACACTATTAGGTTATAACTGCCGAAGATTAGTTGTTGCAAGAGAGTGATTAACTCAAAAAAAGAGGAAAGATATGGACGATAGATGATTGATAGAAAGGAAGGAGCACACCACACCGGAGCGCCCGCCTACCACCCATGTGGAAAATTTGCAGATCCTCTCTTTACTTTACTTTACAGTGATCTGAGATTACATTTTTATTTAAAGCAAACCATTATTCCAATTTTTCTTGTTTTGAGGAAAAATCCTAATACATTTGAACGATTGCTCAAGACTCATTTGTTTAATTCTTATAGTGGCTGGTTGGTGGATGCTCTTGTGCGGTTTGCCACTTATTTCCTATCAAACGTCTATCGTCCTCATCTCTCCTCCTTCTTTTTTGTGTATGTTACTCTTTTGTAACACATCTATTCTTCGGCACTTATATCATCTTAGTGGGTGGTTGGCGGGTGCTCTGGTGTGGTCTGCTTCTTCTTTCCTATCAAACTTCTATCGTCCTTATCTCCCACCCTCTTTTCACACCTCTAATCTTCTGGCGCTCATATGACCTTCTGCAGTTGCGAGCGTCGTAAAGCCTCTTCTAAAACATATGACCTTATTGTGTGCCAAGTGCCGCAAAACTCTTACGAAACTAAAAAACTAATTCTTTTAGATTGTTTGTAAGTGCTGATATGTTTTATTTTCACAGCTGTCCTCACGTGCATATAATTAATGTATGGTTGTGATGGTTCTTTTATGTGGTTGAACTGGTTTTTCTTGTTACTGTCAAAAATTTTATCCTGTGTGAACGAATTATTACTTTTTGATGATCATGTGATAGAAGTAAAGTGCTCAGAGCTTATAACCATATGGGATACAGCACTATAATAAATGCTGTCTATTATTATTATATATTATTTTTATTATTATTATTATTATTATTTTTTTATTTATTTTTTTTAAATTTTCTATTGCTACTCCAAAACCATGGAGTAAATGTACAAATGACTACGCCCCACTCCCCTCCCCCACCCGACCGCTCCTCCTCTGTCACTTCTTTATTTCAGAAAATTATAATTTTGATACTGTCTAAGACCACCACCTTGCATTTTTTTTTCTCTAATACTGACACTGTCGAAGAGGACCACCAGTCTATGATGGCCACTTTACTCTCACGTGGATCTTGGTCTTCCTCGCTTACTTCTCCCATGGGAGGTTTCCATCTTGGGCTTCGTGAAGTTTTAACTAAAACTAACTTTAAAAGGAAATTGGTAATTCCTCTCATCCTGACTCAACCCAGTGACAGAATTAAGCAATGTTACTTTTTCATTATAGAAACGTCATTTAACAAATGAGTTGTTTTATATGATGTAATTTGGACCAATGGCCTTAAACACTGAATAAACTTGGTGGATGGTTGGTGGGTGCTCTGGTGTGGTTTAGTTCTTCTTTCCTATCTCTGTCGTCCTTATTTCCCCTCCTTCTTTTTTTGCGTTTGTTACTCTCTTGTAAACCTTCTAATCTCCAGCACTTATTTGACCTTATTGTATTGCAAATGCCGTAGAACACTTACTAAACCAGAATTAACTTACTTAGGCCTACTTAAAAAGACTAAAACTAACAAATGTCTCTCCACTGCAGGTGTCGGTATTCGTGGAGATGTGGTGACCGTCAAACGAGACTTCTTCCATGAGGAGCTTTTCCCGGCCGGCATGGCTGTGTATGCCTCCCCCGATAACATTGAGGAGTTTGAGGAGGAAAGAAAGGTACATATAAGAGGGAGACGATTCTTGTCGTTTCTCTGTTGTTTCTTTCTTTTATTTTTTTTACATTTTTGAGAGAATATCTGTGTTGATTTACTTACCAAAAACTGATCAAAGCCACACAAAAAATTTGTAATTTGCAGTTCCTGAGGATACTCTCAAGCTTTTGAAGTCAATAAACTGGCAGTCATTTTTGTTTTATTTTTTAGCTAATTTGACATCAAGCTACCCCCTTTCCCTCCAACTTCCTTCAAAGACGAATATCTAGTCTTCTGTTCAAGATAGCTGAGTACTCTTTTCCATCAAGAGCAAAGAAAATGAACAGGCTTTAAGATTATATACCAACAACTCAATATTCCCAAAAATTGATGTGTGTCTGATTTCGTGTTGTGACACTTTTGTTTTGTCAATATTATTACTTTTGGCTGATTTGTGAACCTAGTTTATCTCAGTTACATCATTATGAGGAGGCTTTCAGACACTAAATTATCTCCCAGTTAGTTGACAATAATTTGGAAAATATGTTTGTCATGATATTATGTCCAGAACTTGCTCTCAAATCACACACCCAAAAAAAATTGCCGTGTAGTCGAAGGGACAAAACTAGTTTGAAAACAAATTTTAATCTTAATCTTTCATTGTGAGAGTTGTTTCACTTGGTTGCAAATTTCTGTCCCCAGGCAAAAGGAATTGACAAAGCTGAGACGAGGTTGGGTGTTTTTGCCAGAATGGTGAGTTTGAGGGTGTGGCGTGGCTTGTTCCATGTTGTCTTTTGCTGTACATTCTTTCTTTTTGTTTGTGTTTCTCATATTGTTTTTGTTGTTGTTGTTATTGATTGTTGTTACCATTGTTGTTGTTATTGTTGTTGCTGTTACTGTTGTTGATGAGGTGATTGTTGTTGTTACTATTTTTACTGTTGATGTTGTTGCTCTCTTGTAACGCCTCTAATCTTCTGGCTCTCGCTCTCGTATGACCTTATGCAGTTGCGAGAGCCGTAAAACATCTACTAAGACAAACAAAAGAACGTTTTCATTCTTATTGAAATGGAAGATGGTCAGTTTAGGCATTTCATTTTTTAAAAAGAAAAATCCTAAAACTGCAAAGACGTTATAGGGCAGATATGTTCTTCATTCTTCTTGCCACAAACGCTGTTGATGATTTTCATTCAAGTACCTTTTTTTTTGGGTGCAGCGTGTGTGTACATTATTGGTTTAATGAATTGTAGTTTTAGCTCCTTTATAAATTAAACGACCTTGACCTTCTGGGAAATTTGCAAATCGTTAGATTTAATGATAGTTATGCCTACCTAGGTACCTGTCTGGCCATCCGTCTGTCTGTCCATCTGTCCGTTTGTTCATCCGTCCATCCATCCGACATTGTGTTTTTTGGAAAGACACTTTATACGGATTTTCCATTTTGCTCAGTCCTTTCGGAAATGGATGTTAAACTTGATGGTTCTGCCTCTTAAATAACCTATTACTGTTGATACCATTTCTCCATATTCATCATCCCTCCATCCGTCCCTCCCTTTCTCCTTCCCCCCATCCCTCCATCCATCCATCCATTCATCCTTCCATCCATCCATCCCTTCATCCATCCCTCCATCCATCCATCCATCCATCCATCCATCCATTTGTCAATCCGTCCATCCACCCATCCATCTCTCCATCCATCCATCCCTTCATTAATCTTTCCCTCCCTCACTACCCCCATCCCTCCATCCCTCTATCCCTCTATCCATCCGTCCATCCATCTATCCACAGACTATGAAAGAACTAAGCAACATGCACCTGGAGATCCCCCTCAGCGACAGCTCTGACTGGACACTCTGCAAACGGCACGTCCAGGTGGCCTTCAGAATACAGGTACGGTCACTCCGTTCTTGACTTCACCTTGGTTACTTCTTAATTTAATGCTTCGTCTCGGGCAAAAGGATCGGAAAGCAGAAATTTGCATGGAATTTTTATTCTATTGAGGGAGTAAAAAATTCAGAGGAGTACTGCTGAAAGCCAAATCTGCGCCAGTTTTTTTTTTTCTGCTGTTGTCGAATTATAAAAAAAACACGTATTAGATGATAACCAAGTGATGTAATTTTAGATGTGCTTTGGAAAACCTCTCCCGTTCGCCAAGTTTCGAAGATGTTTGTCTTTTTTTTTGTTGTCTTACATTGTCATACATTACTGCATTGGAGACTTTTGGCAAACCCTATCCTTTTCCTAATATAGGTGTGTGATTCATAAACAAACGCAAAGTAACTTTCTCTTGTTTAATAGTAAAATAAGAGCTAACGCTGATCGTCTTTAGTTAAAAAATGCAGATTTGCATCTTTCTTCTCTATAACTTGACTATTACTACTCACGCAGATTTAAGATTTCTCATGGTAAAAGACATGATATTCGTAGTCAGTTTAACACAGATTTTGGAGAGATCTGTTGTGCCTTTTTAAAATTAACAATCATTTATTCATAAGTTTGTAACTAAAATAGGACAAATTGGGTACTCTGCAAACACTTGTCTAGAACAAAAACTAAAGCACAGAAATTAACCATTCTAACGCAGAATAAATCTCAAGACATTGAGCTTTTAGTACATCCACGAAATGGTTTGCTATGTGGGATGGGGAAGAAGTTATATCGTTTTAAACACAGTCCAAAATGTGAACTTCCTGACCGACACCGGCAAAGTGGCTTCTGGGCTCATTAACCCCGTGACCCCGAGCCGGGGAGCTCCGGCGGGCTGCTGAGTCACTCTAACTAAAAGTAACAGAATGGGGCGAAAAGTGACGCTGTGGTTGAGATGCTTCTCTTTCCTCCTGTTGGTGGTAGGTCAATGCTTAGGTGTGTGGTTTGTCCTTTTTTTTCTAATCAAACATCTATATATTTCTTATCCCTCATCTCTCCTCCTTGTTTTCTTTGTATGTTACTTTCTAGTTACATCTCGATTTTCCAGCACCTATATGACCTATTTATGTTTCAAGTGCTGTAAAACTCTCACTAAAAGGAACCAAATTCCTTTTAGTGAGAGTTTTACAGCACTTGAAACCAAATTGTGGGTGGTTGGCGGGTGCTCTGGTGTGGTTTGCTCCTTCTTTCCTATCAGACATCTATCGTCCTGATCTCCCCTCCTTCTTTTTTGTGTTTGTTACTCTCTTGTAACACCTCTAATCTTCGGCACTTATATGACCTTATTGTGTTGCAAGTGCCGTAAAACTTTTACTAAAACTAATAAGGAACCAAATTTTTTTTCTTTCCCCAAATACACCCTGTCTTGTAATCAGGGCGTGGAAGTGGAGGAGGACTGCTTAGAACTGCCTGAAGAAGCTGTAACAGAGTTCCAGGATGTCACCATCAACGTTTGGGTAAGCACAGAGCTGTCTTGGGTGGTTGGAAGGTGCCACCTGTAGGTGCATGTACTACCGGTACCTCTGTACCCGCTCTGCTCCTTCTTTCCTATCAAACATCTATTGTCCTGATCTCTCCTTCTCCTTCTTTTTTGTGTTTGTTAATCTCTTGTAATGCTTCTAATCCTTGGCACTTATATGACCTTATTGTGTTGCAAGTGCCGTAAAACTCTTACTGAAACTAAAGCCCATTCCGTGTTGTTTATGTCTGTCTGTGTGGGTGGTTGGAGAACATATCTGTGGTTAGTTTTCTTTCTACTTCTGTACTAATCACGGGCAGTTGGTGTTTGTTCTGGTGAGGTTCGCTCATTTGTTTGAAACAACAGCAATATCAGTACATATTGTTTATCCTTTTGTTGTGGCGTCGCTGGCCTAGTGGTTAGGCTCTCAGACTCGCAACCATGAGGTCGTGGATTCGAATCCCATCAGAGGCCTGATGTTGTGTCCTTGGGAAAGACACTATCACACAAAGTTTCCCCACTTTACCTAGGTGGGAATTAGTACCCTGCTATTATTAACAGTGAAAGATCTTGTCAGTATGTTACTGTGTGAGCACGTGCGCTGATGCTTCCTGGGAAGCTGAGAATGTTTCTGAATGTTATAGTGGGTGGTTGGCGGGTGCTCTGGTGTGGTTTGCTCCTTCTTTCCTATTAAACATCTATCGTCCTTATCTCCCCCTTCTTCTTTTTTATGTTTGTTACTCTCTTGTAACGCCTCTAAACTTCAGGCGCTCATATAACAACCTTATGCAGTTGCGAGCGCCGTAAAACCTCTACTAAAACTAAAACTAAAGAATGTTATAAGGTATGCTGGGGTAATAATTGTTGTAAAGCGCATAGAGCGTGCTATAGTGCGTGGATATATATATGCCTATACAAATAAGATTATTTTATTATGATTATCATTTTCATTTTCCCCTTGTTTATTTTCACTCCTCAGATTAATGGTTTGGAATCTGTTCCTGTGAGTGCCACCATTGTTCCAATATCGGAAAAATTCCCTCCCACCAAGAAATAAAGTCATTTGTCATTTTAAAAAAAGACTAGTGGTCATATGTTGTATTTATAGTTAATTGTTTATTAATGTGCAGGATTATGAGTTTACGCTTTTTTAACTGCTGGTCTAGGTTCTAGAAAAACTGGAAACATACTAGATCTATGTCATCTTGGTGTTGCCAAATGGCATAACTCATTCTTTACACTTTTGAGATTGTGGAAAAAACATGATTTGTTGTGTTATATTACATTTTTTTCATTAAAAAATGAAAACGTCTTAATTTAGGAGTTTAAGAAAATATGATACTAAATGTGTTACGACATGGTGGAATCAGGCGCTCGTCAATTTTTGGGCATGTGGAGTTATTGGTACCATCTGAAAGATGATTTATTTGCCTTGCTTTCAATGAAATAGATATCCGTCTATCTTGATTGAATAGAACTCGAAATATATTACAAAATGTTTATATTCCATAATGGCCGAAGTCTGATTTAGCCCATAATGACAGTATTTTTTTGACAGCACTACTCTATGGTGGCAGAGTGGTTAGTTCGCTAGTCTCTGAAGCGGAAAGTCCGGGTTCGAGCCTCAGTTCGGACGCAGATTTTTTTTCGCCCCCTCCTGCCCACCCAGCAGTGATGGGTACCTGACTTTGAGTTGAGGAAGTAAAAGCAGCGTGGAAAAGAAATGGCCACCCTACCACAGTATGCTGAAGGCCCAGGAAGTTGTCTCTCTAACAAGGGAATCCCCAGTGTCCGGATCGGATGCGGGAACAACTTTACTTTTTACACTAAGTTATTTGATAACTTACTTAGAGTATGACGGTATACAGACACCCAGATAGTGTCTCTGAAGGACTTCGTTGTTTTTGTTTTAGTAAGCGTTTTACAGCACCTGCAACACAATTAGGTCGTATATATATTATATAAGTGCCGAATATTAGAGGTATCACAAGAGAGTAACAAAACGCATAAAAGAAGGAGGAGAGATACTGAGATAAGGACGATAGTTGTTTGATAGGAAAGAAGGAGCAAACCACACCAGAGCACCTTCCAACCACCCCCTAAAGGACTAACATAAGACACTTTGACATGGGACAGCCTAGCTCCTGACTGACAGACCCAGTCACAGTTGACAGAAAATCATAACTACCTGTCCCCGTCGTTTTACGCAAGAACAATTCTGAAATTATGCAAACTGGGCCCAAAAACGTGATATTATGCTATTGTGTTAATTTTAACAAAGAATGATAAAGGAAAATAATATGAAACTATACTAAAAGTGATCAAACTTTGCTAAATTATGCTGGGTACATAAAACCACGGGGACAGAACTATGAGGCTTCACCAATAAGAAATGCTGAAACTTAGAGAGAAGCCCGCAAGCTGCACGTATCCACGAGTGGAAGAGGGGGCCTTTAAATGGCCAAAATGTGGCAAACTTTTCTGTCAGAATTGGTCTGTGGGTATATATAATTACCCCTCCCCTCCTTAAATCCTGACTAAATAGTCTACTACCTCTGAGATCCAGCAGGGAAAAGCAAAGAAGAAGAAGAGTAGGCCTACCGGTACAGGAACGAAAAATTGAACATAATACCACGACAAGTATTTTGTTATACATGTGATATAAATTAAGTAAGTACACTATAAGAAAATGAATATTTGGTTTATTGGTGATTATACATTATATTACATGTATAATATTAATAACACTCTAGCTCTCACAGGCGAACGAGGCAGTGGTAGGCCCAGAGCAACATACTTAGGGAACCTAAACAAATGGATAGCAGGGAAAGATCAGGGAAACGTAGCTACCCAAGCTACGACTACGAGAATCCGAACAAAGGAATGAATTGAGAACTATGATCGCCAATGTCTGTCGTAGATCTGGCACTGGATGATGATGATGATGTTATAAATTATATAGATGGTGTTTGGCTCAAACTGGACTAGTTCATGCAAGCTAATAAAAAAGCAACACCCCCCCTTCCAAAAACAACCCAAAACAAAACAGAAACTACCAAACAAAACCGCTGGGTAAATAAATCAAAGACCAGGTTGAACATATATGTGCTCGAGGGATGTGAATTTGTACACGAGCTAATATTTTGTGTGTGTGTGCGTGTGTTTGTCTGTTTGCGTGTGTGTGAGTGTGAGTGTTTGTATATAGGTATATATTATATCCATGCGTGCGTGCTCTCTTCTTTATCAACGTATCCATCCATCCACCCATCCATCCATGCATTATCTCTTATCTGTCTATCTATCTATCTATCTATCTATCTATCTATCTATCTATATATCTATCTATCTATCTATTTATCTATCTATCTATCTATCTATCTATCTATCTATCTATCTATCTATCTATCTATCTATCTATCTATCTATCCACCCACCCACCCACCCATCCATCCTTCCATCCATCCATGCATCTATCTATCTATCTATCTATCTATCTATCTATCTATCCATCCACCATTCATCCATCCATCTATCTGTCAGAAGGCACGTCCCACACACAGATCGAACCGTCCAGCCCACTAGACACAAGGACTGAGCCACACGGGCCAAAGACAGAACAGATAACTGATTCACAGTGCGCCTTGCCCATGTGGGTTACTTCCCCTGTCTCCATGCTCCATAGCTGGGGAAGAGATGAAAGCTATTATATTTATATATATAATATAAATATAAGTAGACATACTCAAACATTTTCTGGAATATACCCATTGATTAGATCTAAAAATAAAAAAATAATGAGAATAATAAAAACGATATTAATAATTTAATAATCACAATAATCATAAAAATAATGTAAAATTATGATAATAATAAAGATGATGGAGATGATAATGATATACATATAACAACAACGCCAAAAATAGTAATAATAATAATAATAATAATAATAAATAATGATACAAGTGAACATGAAGAAGATGATAATAATAATAATAATTATTATTATTATTATAATATTAGTAATATTAAAAAATAATAATTTTAAATAGTGAAAATATTGATGATAATAGTAATAACAAAAAACCCCAACAATAATAATAATAATAGTACATAACGTTTATTAGCTATAGCACTAATTCTCACTGTGACGAAGAATGTGTTACCTTTCCAGAAACATGTACCAAAAAAAACCAACAAAAAAAAACAACCAGCAAATATACAAATGAGCAAACAAAACGCACACAAACGAACAGACACACAAAAATCGACAAATACCAATCGAACAAACAAACAGACAAAAATAATCTTGCACTCAATTTGACCAATTTATCGTCTCCTGTAGTGACAAAGTACTTGCAACTTTTACTCTCTCACACGCACACACACAACAATGAAAAAAACATAAACACAACCAAACAGACTGACACACGAACAAACAAACAAATAAATAAGTAACAGTGCTAACAGGACCCACCTTGATCAATGTATCGCACCCCCGCTGTAACAAAGTACTTTCTATCTTGATTTTCTTACAAACAAACAAACAAACATTAACACAACCAAACAGCCTGACAAACAAACAAACAAACAAACAAATTATAAACCACTGAACCCCTAAGTATCGTCCTTTGCAGTGACACAATAATTGCTGCCTTTACTCACACATACACACACACACACACACACACACACACACACACACACACACACACACACACACACACACACACACACACACACACACTTAAGTATATTATTAGGATAATATGTCTCATAGCAGTGACACAGCGGTATCCTTTCTGCAACTTTACAAATTTATATTGCATGGTGTCTTTTATTTTAAAAAAATTTTTTTTAAGAAAAACAATATTTGGTGTTTGGAAAGAAACTTTTGTTGTTTTTTTTAAGAGCAGTTTATAGAGACGGGATTTATCATTTTAAATTGAAATAAAAGTAATTTTGAAAAATTACATTGGTAAAGAGAGAAAGAGTTTCAGAGAAAGGTGGGCTCGATTTTTAAGAAG